TATAGATAATTTTTGAGTTTGTCTAATATTTCAAATCTTTAAGTTAAGCCAAAATAGTGTTGTATTTAAAAAACTATTATTTGGTCATTTTATAATTTAAAATCTTATAGAACTAATAATAAATAATCTTTACAAAAGAGAATATTAGATTTAACTAATAGATAATTAAGACTTTTAGTTTACTTAAGTTTAATAAAAATTAGTAAAATAAGTCATATGATTAAAAAATTAGTCAAACAATAATTTTTATATAAAGTTTATAATGTTTAATTTTTTTAAAAAATATTAAAATAAGTACTTGTGATCTAGAATTTTATTAATAGTATATTTAACTAATAGTTTTATTACAACTACAGAGGCAATTATAAAAAAAAATATACAACTAATCACTTATATAATTTTAGTTATTATTTAATTTAAGTAATTCATCCAAAGGTTCTATACTAGTTATTATACATAGACTTGCTTGTAAGTTTTCTATTTAAATACTCTAGTTTTTATATTCACTTCTTATCAACACCTATCAATGACTCTGGTTGATACTAGTATTAATATTAAGAGTTTTATATATTTTTAATCATAACTTTTAATGCACCAAACCAAATTGAATAAAACAACTACTATTGGATTTAGTTTACTGAAATGGTTTTAATTAGCACAAAATCATATGATTCTGATTACAAAATTACAAGATTAGAACAATTTTAATGAAAATACTAATTCTAGTACATGTGACTTAATTCTGATTAGTTTCTATTACTGTATCAGAAATTTTACATTTCTTATAAATTTTATAGATCTTACAAATATTATAAATATTACATTTTATTAGATCTATCATTTCTATTGTTTTTATAATATTTTATATATCTTTTATATTTATTATATATATTATATCTATCAAAACTCTTTCTGCTAATCTGCAGTACCAAAATCAACATTAAACAAAATACAAACAAATCTCAAAATCAAAACTAAGAAACAATATTAATACTTCTAAGAACAAGAATTCAGCATTCAAAAAGATATATACTTAAATAGAACTAAATCTTTATTAACTTGAATGTTTAGTTCTTTTACAGTTTTTAGAAAATTTTCAACAAAATTTTACACAAATTGTAGAAAATTGTCTTGTTTCCAAAAAGCAAAAACACACAACATATAACCAGTAAACAATAACAAACAAATAAACAAACACATCTTATTTTAGAAGAGGTAATAGTTACACAACAACAATAAACAAAAAATTATATATTAAATTAGACAAAAAAACAGGCTTATAATAAGTATTAAACAAACAAGAGTCAATCATATTAGTTATAATAGATAGGATAGAAGAGTTACACAATTAAGAAATATTATATTGCATTAGTGGATTAGGTGCCAAAAATTTAAGGTTTATGAATAGTGAGATATTAACAGAAGAACTAAGAATAACAATGCTCATGTTTCAGATAATAGTAAGCATGTAGCCAAAAGTCTAACAATAGTAGATCTTAACAAATTACAGCAATAGATTTACTAATTTATAAACAAATACTAAGTTTATTAAAACAAAGAGAAGATAGAATTCCAAATGACACTCTGATTAAAGAATGGGCAACTAAAGTTAAAATGACTTATAAAAATCCAGAAATAGTAAACTATATAACAGATATGAATAATGAACAAATACAAGAAGAAACAAACAAGATGAAAGATATAGTTAAAAAAAGCAAAATAGAAAGGCTTCAAGAGATAATTACAAGAAAACAGCAATAAGAAAAAGAGCAACAATCAGAAGAAAAAGACTTGAGATCTTATGAATCAGCTGAACTAACTAAAAACAGTATGCATATAGAGAAAGAAAACCAGTTAGATATAGAAATAACAAACCAAATACCAGCAACAATTCTTTTTGAAACAACTAAAAAAGAAAATATAAATAAAACAAAGTTCAAGAATAATAAGTTCAACAAAATGCATATTAGCAATTAGTTATAATACTCTAGAATATTAATATTAAAATAAAATTAATTTTTTTTTTAATATTAATAATAAAACTATGCCTCTATCTTTATTGAATATTTATTTGAAATTTTTAGATAAAGTATAAATTTATTATTAAAAATATTATAAAAAGAGTAGAAGCTCAGATTAGTTTATTTGCAATTTAAACTAACAGAAGTAGCTAAGACTTACTTAGATTTGAGTGTTAGTGATTATATATAAAGACTAGTTTGATATTTAATCTATTATATATATTAGAAATTAATTTTAAAATAAATTAAATTAGAAAGAAAAAATTAAAATAAATATGAAATAAGATTAAAAAATAAATTAAAAATAGAAAAATGAGTTATTAATCTTAAAATATAATAAGGAATCCAAATTTTATAATATATTTGTTAGTTAAGATAAAGTAAAAATTTAATAACAAATGTTATAGCTATTTTTTTAGATAATAAATTTGAGATAGTAGAAATAATTTCATGTAATACTAAGCCTAATAAGGTTGAAAAAACTGATAATAAGTCTACTGTGTTGTGTATAGTTATATAATATAATTGTTTAATTTAGTAATGTAGTTTGGTTATAGTTTTTGAAATAGTATCAAGTATATTTGTATTTAGAATGTGTTGTAACAAACTGTTAATAAGATTATATAGTAGCTAATCAGATAAACATGTTATCCAATAAAGATAAGAACTGGTTTTATAGCATTGATAACAAGTTGGTAAGTATGAGTAATATCATTTGTATAGAATATATAAAATAGAAAGATCATTAAATAAAATTTTAATTTTAAAGAATTTAAGAATAAAAGATTGAAAACTATATAAAAAGTTTAAGATTTTTTGATTATTGTTAATGTATAGCCAAGTGGTTTGCTAATTAATTTGGTTAAAAATTTTGTTTTATTTTTGAAACTGGTTTTGTGTATAAATCTGCAACAAGTAGATAATTCTAAAAAAAAATTTTCAAGATTTAGAATATAAAATGAGTTATAAATATTTTAAGTCATAAAAATTAGATATAGTAAGTTATAATGGTTTCATACTAGTTGATCAGTAAGGTTGTTATATATATTATCTTAATGTATAGTAATTTAGTAAAAAAATAATTTAAATTTTATATAAGTTAATAAAATTAATTAGTAAGTAGTATTTGGAACTGGTTTTAATCAGATTTAACATAAGAAAAATAAAATGAGTTCCAAACTCTATTAATAAGATTTATAATAAAAAATATAATGTATATATATAGAATAAGGTTGTAGAAGAGTTTAAAATATTTTGATATTTAGAAATTACAGATTAAGAATCTGTATATATATTTATAGTATTATTTCTAAGAACAGAAATAAGAATAGATAGAATAACAATAAGTTCAGTTTGAATAAACAAGGTCAAAGTTTTGTTTGAACTTAAAATATATATAATATAAAGTTATTAGAAATTTGATTCTATCTAATATCTATAGAGCATTGTGAAATATCCAAATTAATAACAGAATCATTTATATAAAAATGAAATTCTGATTAGTTAATATTATAATTAACTATTTATTAAAGAATATATATAAATGAACTAAGTTTAAAAATTATAAAAATTGATTAAGTAATAATAGTAATATTTGAAAAATCTGAAATTTAAATAGAATACTGAATTGTAATAAAATATATAAGATCAAAATAATTAATATTAAAATTAAGAGTTTTGTTATAAGTGTTAACACAATCCAAAAATCAAATTAAGAGATTAATAAGAATAACAATTGTATATTTGTTAACAATTATTTAGAAGTTGAGAGAACAGTTAAAACATATATAAAATTGAATAGGTGAAAAAAAATAGAATTAAGTAAATTGTAATTCAATATTACATTACTAGTAGATAATAAGAATGGATCCAGATGTCTTCTGACTTTGTCAATAATGATTTGATCATTAAGTACTATAATAAATTATAATTTTTTATATGATGAGAAGTGTCCAGTTGTATAATTGTAGTAATTTGTGTTAGATAAATGTAGATATTAGTAAAGTATATAATTGTAAGAATAGCTTATAACTTGATTTTCTAAGTAAGTAAACCAAAATAACTATTTGTTTTTTTGGAATCTTGTATATATAAGGAGTCTTGTATATATAAGAAGAAATGTATTTTCAATCTAATAAGCATGAATTGTCAAATATAATAAGTTAAATAAAATTAATAAAATATTTTACTAACAACTTTATATATATATCATACCTTATATATATAATTTTATAAATTTAAACTATTTTATTAGTACCTATAATTATAACTCTATTAAAATTTACTTTAATTATAAGAATTATTTGACAATACATTTTAAAATATTTTGACACTTATAACTTTAATGATAGTTGAAATTTGAAGTATTTAAGATTTAGATCTAAGATACGTTATTATTTGTTATCTTAATAAAACTAATTATTTTTATATAAACATACAATTTTTAAATGCAACAAGCATATGTCTATTTATATTACATTCTATTTAAAAGAGTTAAGACTTCGAACTTTTAGTTACTATATAATATTAATTTAAAACTAAAGTTAATATGATGCAGTATTTAGAATTTATTATTATATTTATTCGATAGCCTGATTTTAGTAATATTTATATATGTACAGTAGTTAATCGAATTTCTTTGAGTTTATAGGTTTACATATTATATCACATGACCCATGATAAAAAAGTTTATAACGGGGGCGACAAATAAATTTATCCTCTAAAAAATATATAATCATATATTTTTTAATCAAATTTATTAAAGCTTAAACATGCTTTTGAACACTTGGATATTTGGACGGTAAAAAATGTACAACACTGATTTGATTGTAGTATTGTATTAAAGTACAAATGCAAGAAACCTTCTGATTACAAATTGTATTAATACTGTTTGTATATACTATATAATAATTTGTAATATTTGTATAATTACAAATCATATAAATTGATCACATGGTAAGAAGAGTTTACTAATTTTCCTCACATTTCTGATTGGTTCTACATATCGGAGTATTTATGTTATTAATTAATCATATGGTACTCCGATAATGAATCGTAGGTACTAACCAAGCATCGCCCAAAAAATTAGTTACGGTTTAAACTCAATTAAATGTATAGTTCTAATGGTTCAATATGTACAATTAATTTTAGCTTTTTTGATTAATAACAATAAAATTTTTTAAATTACATAAACGATAAATTATACTTTTTTTAAAAAAAAAGCTTTATATTGTAAATCGAGCAGAAATTAGAAAACTTTTTGCGAAAAAAAACTCATTCTTAATATTTAATATGTATTAAAGGTAAAAAGCGAATATATGAAAAAAAAGGTTTACTTTATCTGATTTTAATAAAAAAAACTGTTTATTGATGTCTGTACATTTCTTAAAAGTTAGTTTGCTCTTCGCAAACATTTAGTTTTATCATCACTAGGAACAACACATTTTTTAATGTTATTAAGGTTCAACGCAATAATAAACATCGATTTCTTAATGAACCCAAAAAACTATATAACCCGCCACATTATATAATCCCGAAGTGAAATATTGTGATTATAAGGAAGCCGAAATAGATTTAAGTATGGACGAATATGATTTAAGTGCTAGTGATGTTGAGGTTACAAATGATAAAACTATTGAATTGAAAGAAATACTAGTGAAGATAATATTTATTTATTTTATTATTATACAAGCTATTTATGCAATCGACTTTGAATATAATTAATCTCTGTGTGCGAGCTCTGGATATAACTAACCCAAAATTTCATAATAGTTCGATATGGAAATGTCATGGATCCTTAAGAAAGTAATTTTCTATAATGAACTTTTTTTTTTTTTTTCAGAACTGTAGTTCGTCATAAAAAGAGTTGACTATATTTTTTACATATTAATAAAAATAATTTATAAGTGATAAAATTTATTGAAAATTTAGAAATTTTCTCAGCGAAAAAAATAGGTAAAACGCGATTGGTTTATGAACTTTTACAAAATAATTACATTAATATATTTTATTTTTAAGAATTCAAATAATCTCAACAATAATTTCGTCATTTATAAAAATTAATTTCGTTAATTATAATTGTCGAAATAATTATTTATTAAAGAAAATTAACTTAGACATTTATATATACTGTATATATGATAATTCGAAATATTTTTTTATAAACACTTAACTTTTTTTGAAAATTTTTATTTTATTATTTCGTAAATTAATGGATGCAGTATTAATAAAAATATATCATTAAAACGCAATTTGTATATTGCTTCATTGCAATATATATATATATTTATCGATAAGTCGTTTAGTAAGTTCAAATTCCGGTACGTAACTGATTTTTTGGGCGAAGCTAGGGTGATTAAGCGTAGGAGGAGATTAGTAAACCGATGGTAGAGAATACCACCATGGTGCAAGTACTGTATATCATTTTATAAAACTCTCATTACGTACATATATAGTATATATAAATAACGATAAGAAAACGTTCTTATCAAAAAATACTTTTATACGTAAAACTAATCATTGTAAATTTTATTGTAAATTATTTAATTTTTATAAATTGTTAAGAGATGAAAATTTTTATTTAAATTTATTTTTTTTTAATAAAAAAAAATTTTTTTTTTTTTTATAAAATTTAACTCTTTCTATCTTTGTTATAATAACTAAAAAAAACTATAAGATTTATATACAATATATACATATATTATATTGTTTATTTTTAAAAAGTTTTAAGATCAAATAACTTTACAATTTAAAAAGTTATAAAATATTGTTCCATGACCACTATTATAACCACTATAATAAGTGCGAAAGGTACTGTTCCTGTAATCACTAATGTAGTAATGTAGTAAGTGCGAAAGGTACTGTTTCCCATAACCACTATCACTAATGTAAGTACCACTACTGAAAGTACACGTTTTTTTTTTTATACGTGCTACTAACGAGCGCACATATAGGGTCCACTGTACATATTCAACCGAGTTGTAAGTTTTTTTTTTATCACAGGTGAACATATAGAGTTCACTGTACATATCCATCCCAAGTTGTAAATTTTTAACACAGGTGAACCGTTTTGATACTGGAAATGTAGGTGATCCGGTTTACTATAATCCGGTTCCAAACTCCAAATTCATCATTAGATCTTTTTTATCATCATCAGTTTCCATTGGAAAAAATTCATCAAAGTATGTTAGATATTGCGGAGTAGTAGGATTATTAAGACAATTAATATTGCAAGAACTAGAAGAGGAGAAAGAGGAGGAAGAAGAGAAGGAAGAAGGTGAAGGTGAAGAAGAAGAAGAAGAAGATGATGATGATGATGAAGGTATTGATAAAGTATTCATATCAATATCATGAGTAGAAAAGGGAGAAACCAAAACACGTGATTGATAGGAATTTTGTCGTCTTGGAGGAGTTCTACCATGAGGAGAAGTATATATTTGAAGACGTGGATAAGAAGTTTTTTGATGATTATTAACGGGATGAGAAGCTGATCTTTGATGATGCTTTAAAGATGGAACTCTCTGAGGAGGATCAGGTCTTATTGATGCATGAAGATTGAAATTTAATCGAGGCATTAATTTTAATAAAGGGCCAAGATGTAAATCTAGATCCGATTTATGTATTCGAAGGTCATAATCTAATAAAGATAGTAATTGTCTTTCCATAAGATTAACTTTTGAAACGGAATATACACCGGAGAATCTAGCCCAATATTTATTTCTAGGTGAGGAGTCATTCAAATATTTTCTAGATAATTAATGACAATTTAAGGAAAAGATGAGCGGATTTATAATAATAAAGAGATATAAAGATAACGAGAAGGATAGATATAGCTGATAACTTACGATGAAACTATTAGGGTAGCGAGAAAAACTCTATGACGAGTACAATGCATTCCTAAAATAGGGAGAAATAAAATAAAAGAGGTTAGAAGCAAATCCAATTTAAACCAAAATGAAGGTAAAATAAGATAATAAAATAAGGGAAAAAATAAGGGTAATAATCCACACAAGGTTAAATTTAAATGCACACGGATTCGCTTATACAATCCCCATTGATTTTTCGGCCGACGTGGTGTAACAAGATCTCGCATAAAAGCGACGCCGAGGGGATTACTTAGTTTCACAAGGTAGAATATCATGTGACGACACATAACATTCAACCAAAGAGAGAAACTTTAATCTTTAAGCCACCGACAAGAAAAGAAAATTCCAAGACGAAAGAAAAATAGCCATAACGAACGAACGAAGATTTCAAAAATACTGTATGATAAAAGAATACTAACCTCTTGCAAGTTTTGGTAATTTATTTTTCAGACGAGCCAAGTAAACAACGGTAGTAAGAAAAGTAGCAGTTGAAACGTTTGATTTTACAACCAATCGTTGTATGAATGATATTAAAGGAGGTAAAGGTTGATAGTCATCTTCACCAACATTACGTGATATATTTTTAGATTGGTCTTGTCGTTTGTTAATCGGTAGAGGGTCGCATGGGATCACTTCAGCGGCTTTTTGAGCTACGTAAGCTAAAAGGAAAATGAGAATGAAAATTTGAATTAAAATTTGAATGAAAATTAGAATTTAAAAAAAATGAAATTGAGAACGAGAATGACATACCAATCATTGGAAGAGTTATAGGACCACTGACCAAGAATTTTAAAGCAGCATCGGTGGTATCCATTATTGTTATTATGAATTTGGTTTAAAAAATAAAGGAAAATATTTATTGATCGAGTTGAAAAAAAAAGTAGTAAGTTAAGAAATTTAATTTTTTTTTGAAAGGGAAGAGGTCCTTTTATGGGAAAATGATGGAAAGGCAAAGTCACTGCGCTTGGATAACAATCAAATATGAAGATTTCAAAAAAAGTTCGTCAATAGGAATCTGATTTGTTAAATGATTATATATTATTAAAGATTTATAAAATTATATAGGTGTCAAATAATATCGCGTAAGTTTCTTTCGCGATTTGATTTATTATTCATTCGGATGGATTGATGATGAATAAAAAGTGATGATGCTATTCGTATTGATATATAAATTGATTATTTTATTTATTTACTTTTAGCAAAGTGGTAAACTTCGTACTTTAATTGACAGAAAAAAAAAAATACTTTTGATGAAGAAAGGAAAAAAAGGTATGATGGCGGACCTTTATATCATTTATTTCGGAGAAATTTGTGCATCAGGCATTATTAGACTTTTATTAGGTTTTTTTTTTTTTTTATGTATGTATGTATGTAAATATAATAAAAAATTAAAAATAAATATATATAAAAAAAAAAAAATTTCAGTTGCGACACCTAAAATTAATGTACACCAGAAAATCAGGAGTACCAGTATAGATTGGTAAAACGATTAAACAAATTAAACAAATTAAAAAAATTAAAAAAAATTAAACAAAATTAAACAAAATTAAACAAAGTTAAATATAAAAAAAAATTAAACAAAAATTTATAACAGATTTATATAAATTATACAAAGCAAAAAAAGGTATACGTATAGTAAATATAACATTGAATATGGTAGATCATCTAAATATAAATGCCAAGCATCATCGAAGCGGTTATGATCATCAAATAATATAAAATGTAATAGAACTAAATTCATATTGACACTCCTCTTTCTTACAGTAAAAGCATAAAAGGAGATGAATGCATAAAAATGAACAACGACCGAATAACTGTAAATATATGTATGGGACACCCTTATTACGCATATAAACATTTTATAATAAACAATAACAATTATAATATCCGTAATTTGTTTTCGGTAGTAAATAAAAAAAGGTGACACAAAATACCAGGAAAATGTTCATATGCGGCGGTCGACTAATCCTAGTTAAATGATCATAGTCCAATAACGAATAATCATAAATAATTATAGTTAAATAACGAATAATTAATTATTAGTCAAATAACGAATAATTAATTATAGTAGTTCAATAATCAACGTAATCCAATAAATCATCATAATCTTAATAATCATAATCTAATAATCATAATCTAATAATCATAAATCTAAATAACGATACATAATACAGTAATAACGATAATAATAGAAAAATCAATAATTAACGAAACTTTGAAGATGCATTTGATACAAATCTCTGTTAAAAAAGGGACACCTTAAGGAATGCAACGGCGGGCAGTCCCCGTCGCAGGTTTTTAAACAAAGGGAATTAATCATTACAATATAAAAAAGATCTGTTACACGCATGTTTGGCATGAAATCATAATCGGACAAAGTAATTCAGATTGACAGACCGAAAGATCATCTATCCAATCAGAGATCGATCTCGATCAATGTCGGAGAGGTTTGTTAGAGTTTTGTCAGAGTCTTGTTAGATAGTCCTATTAGATAGTTTTATCAGAGAGTCTTGTCAGAGAGTCTTGTTAGAGAGTCTTGTTGCATAGGTTTATCACATAGTTTTATCGCATAGTTTATCGCATAGTATTGTCGCATAGTTTATCGCATAGTTTATCGCATAGTTTATCGCATAGTTTTATCGCATAGTTTCATCGCATAGTTTAACATGTTCAACAAACATGTTTAACAATTAATATGTTTAACAAATAAGTATAACGACAAGCATAACAACAAGCATGATAATAACATTTAAACAACATTTAAAAAAATGAAACGAATGACTTTAAAGTCAGGGTGCTTGAAAGTCAGGGATTACATTTAATAAACGATATTAAAATTTTTCAATAATACACAAATTCATATACACAGATTTATAATACACAGATTCACATAGCACGCAGATTCATAAGACGCAAATTAAACAGACAAGACAAATAATAAGAAAGAATCAAAATCATGTTAATATGTGGGTTTTGCGTACATTTTAAATGTACTGTACATACATGCTTAAATGAATGAACATGAGAATGCTTATAATTATTAATTATGCGTATGCGACTTAACGCCATATTCTAATCGGACTTTTTTTTTTTCACAGGATTATCATGTTATTTAACCCGTGAATGTAACCTGACCTGATGTTTCTTTCTGGGTCACTCTTTGAAAAGGTCGAATCAATAGATTATTATCACGCTTGTTACACGGGTTAAATCAGGTAATTTATTGGTTAACAAATTCTTTTAACTTAATAAAAATTCATTTGTTGATTAAATCAAAGACTATGGAATTATTGGTTTATTAATTATGTATCTCTCAATATTCTTAAAACGCCACAAACAAATGAGCGTTACGTATTAAAAAAAAAAAATAATAATAATTAAAAATGTCAAAAAAAGATATTATATAAAGAATATATAATTAAGAATTAAAAATCTACTAGTATTTTCTATTTATAAAAATTAAGGATATTTGTCATAAGGTTAGTAAGGTTTGATCCTTACGTCACAGATATTAAACTCTCCCGAAGTGATTATATAATTAAGAATCATTCATAATATTCATAAATATTCATAATACTTAAAATGATAAAGATTTTCGATTAAATTTGAGATTTTAACGATGATAATAATCTCTTTTTTGGTTTAATCTTGTTTGTGAAACAGATTTCATATTCAGACAAATTACTAATTTACACAAATATGATGTTAATAATGAATCTTAAATGCAGAGTAATTTGTTAATTATTATAATTAAACTTTAAAACCTAACACAAAGTGATAAACAAATGTGAATACGTATTGTTGTCAATTATTTAATGTCACACAAGAGAAATTAATTATATTAGTCAAAGAATGCGATGTTATGCGAAATTTTATAAATTAATATTTTTGATAGTATATAGTAAACGAGTAATTTTACACTATCTTAGATAGCATGTACTTACATTTTGATATTTTTTGATCGATTGAATGCATTTAATCATGCCATAAGACATATTAGAAGAAGTTTTTGAACACTTTTCTTTATTTACTTTATTTACTTTCTTTAATTAATGTCATACTTATGTGTAAAGATTAAAGCATATAAAATGCATGCTATGATATACGTATGATATTCGTTTGATATTCATCTGGTAATTTCTGGTAGTTTCACGACACCAAAATTGTTTACACAGTGTTCTAATATATTGAACATGTTGAACATGTTGGATATATTGAACATATTGGGTACACTAAAAGATAAACCAAAATCCTATTACTTGGATTTCATTACCTAACCGAAAGTTAGCCTTATTACGTACTACGGTATAATTTATTTATTACCGAATTTTTGGCTAATAATTTATATATACGTATTATTATACATTTATTTTGTTATTAGAACTGTCGTCCTCCCCTCCTTTCAATAAATGTTATGGATATGTGTTCAAAATGACAATCTTGAGGTATGACTGAATGTAAAACATTGCTACGTACATACGTACGTACGTTTGTACGTATGTACATTCCTCCCTTCAAACATTCTCCTTTCTCCTGCGGCTTTCTTCTCGTTTAATAACATAGTAACTTTTTATAAATTTCTTTATTTGTTTTGGTTTGTTTTTTTGTTCTTCAGAATAATATCTCAAATAAAGGATTTGAAGATGTTTCTAATGATCTCCTTTCTTTAATACATATCTGGCTTCTTACAATTAGTGAAATTATAAGTGTTTATAAAATTGTTTCATGATATTTATTTATGAAACACGAAAATGAAATATTATTCTTTGCTTTTATCGTTCAAATAAATGTCGGTAAAGTGCTATAATTAATGTTATTGATCTATTACATCTTACAATGATTATATATTCGTACCGTAATATTCACAATATTACATAACATTCGTAGTATTCGACAGTATTCAATAGCATTCAATAGCATTCAACAATATTCAATAATATCCAATAATATTCAACAATATTCAATAGTTAGTATTAAACGTTACGTACCGATCGATTACATTCATTATTGTATTATTATTATAGTACTATTATGATACTTATTTATTGTTAAGATTTTTGTTAAACCAGATTCTTGGTTATACGTATGATTATCATTACTACTACTACATACTATTACTACTACTACTACTATTTGGGTATTATCACTAGCACTATGACTATGTAGCATTATTATTATTATACGTATATATAGAATTACTACTATGTTTATATGTAAATATTTACATAAATGTTTAAGATTAATCTAAATGTATGCGTTTCTTCTATACCTATATATATCAAGATTAGTAAGATTAAACACTTTCAAAATTGTTAAGTTTTATTATCTGTTATTATAATAAAAAATATAATTTCTACGTACCTATAATAACAGTTTTCTTAATATCGATACGTACATAATTTTTTAGCGTATCGTGATCTACAGTTGATCGGGTCCTTAGAGTTAACGTTAATCGGAATTCAATTGATTTCTTATCGTTACGTATCATATGCAATTTATTAATACTTATCATTATTTCAGTGCAGATACATACCCAAGTACATACGTACGTACATGCCCGACAGTATGTACATAAATATGTACACTAATTGAAATCTATTGTGACACATATGAGACTTTTTCATTATCTTTCTAAAGATGGAATTAACTTAAAGGATATTTTAAATGAAAAAGAAAAAAATCAAATTTGTCCTAAAAATGGCTCATACAAACCTAAAAAAAAACACACCGATACGTATCAAATATTCAATTAAATCTTTCCAGGATAGTTAATATAATGAATGCAGAAAAATAATTAGAAAATAATTAATATTAATTGATGTATGTGTTATATTCTTAGCATTAGTATTTGCGTAATATTAATTACATAATTAATTAACTTTGTGATCTTTATCATTACTTTGATAGCGCACTTGAGACATGACTTGCTTAATTATTTAAAAGTTGAGAACAATCTTACGCTACATACCATTTACACAACTAAGCAAAAACAAGTGTGTCACTATTTATAAAACTGGCCATTCAGGATGTGGAAAAAGATGAAATGTTAACTGTCACAAATCTTTCATAAATGCAATTAAATTAATTAATTATCGTTTTACATTAATATCGATATTACAATGACAACTAGCATCATAAAAGCCTTGAACGTATGTATACGCAAGTACACATACGTATTTCAACCTTTATGTTTCATCATAAGTTGAATTGTGTCGTTTTTTTGTCTCGGAATAGGGCTGTAACAACAATCGCACAATACTTGTTTCACTATCGACTCCTATCGACTCCATAATAAATTAACTAAATAAAGACAGATTAATAACTGGTCATTTTTCCATATCGAATAATTGTTCCGTTTATCTTTAATTAATATCTGATAATAGCATGCATAACTTACATATGTGTTTACATTTGTACGTAATTCAAAGTTTCACTATACTAACACTAATATAATGTTAATATAATGCTAATATAACACTGATATAACGCTGATATAACACTGATATAACACTGATATAATGCTAATATAATCCTATTAATTGTCTTTTAAATTCAAATCGGCTAATCATTTTTAGTAATTTGATACTTTATATATATTTAGAAACGTCAATAAGTTGTCACTGTTAAACAATAGGATGGTTATAACTGTTTTAAGTTAGGTCTGTCTATAACGACAATGAATAATCGTACTTATACAGCCTGAAACTCCGCTATCAAAAAATGTACTAAAATCTGAAAAATAATACTTATTATATTAATTCAATGATTTATTTTAAAGTTAAACAAAATCGATTGGCTAAAAATGGTTTAACCATATAATGATGTGATATCTTTTTTACGTTCTAGTTCGATATGGTTTATTAACCAAATTACTCGTAAAGGAAGGTTTAAACACAAAATGGTATTCCCAAATGGTATTCAAAAATTCGAAAATTTCGAACCTAAAAATGATACATGTATGAAGGCGGAATTTGTATGAACAAAATGAAATAAAATGGTTTTGCCAATCTAAATGCCCTTTATTCTTTTTTTCATACTGTATTACTATTCTTTTTCGTTGTACTGACTTATTGGTCATGAGAATTTCGTGCTTAAATTTATAAACGTTAATAATCCTTTTTCTTTTTCACTCTTACATATATTATAATATTTAAGTACGTGGGAAACTAATATGCATTAAGACACTTTTGATAACATTTATTCAGCCAGGGAGGTAAATTTCCTCATTAGGAATATAAACACTGCGTAGTATAACTAGTGTAAGGGTATACTTCAATTCACAAGTGTTACTTTTGACTTTTGAGGCGGTAAAATCGGCTCAATATTTTAGGTAAAGTTTGAGTTTTAAATTGTATAATTATATCAAAGTTTTTTTTTTTATAATGTGTAACTGACAACAATATGTAGTTGCATGGTTTTAGTTTAAAGTTTAGATGTATTTTTTTCTATAACAACAACGTTAACGTTAACTGTAATTTATAGTATATATACCTATCTGTTATATACTTGTATACTCACCTCCTTTAACCCATTATAACTCACATGATAGAAGCCAAGTTAGAAGTCTGCGTATTCTAAAAAAAATATATATATATACAGTATATAACTTTTATCCAATTATATATTTATTAATAAATCTTATTACCTAAATATATTCCTGAACTCCAGATTGTTCAAATATAAATTATATTTTAAAAAAATAAGCTCAAATGTTTCAAAATTAAAGTATATTCTAGTACTCGTACATATGCATATGATACTTTCAGTAAGTATCACAAATTCAAAAATAGTAGAATTTTTACGAAACTCGCATGCTCCCGACAACTCTTGCAAAACTCCATCTATAACAAATAAGATCCTTAGTTTCATACATGTTTTTTTTCATATGGATTTTTTTTTTCAGCCCACCATTTATAAAGAACCTTCTGAAAGTGCTACTCTAAATTTGTCCATTAAATAATAAATATTTTGAATTGTTTGTCATGTGATTACTTCGATCTTTTTCTTCTTATTATGAATATCTTTCATTGTACTTTTCTTACAAGAGATGCTTATCATACATATCAATACTATAGATGCTATAGATGCTATAGATACTATATTTCTTTATTTCTTAAGCCATCTTAAATGATTTAATAAAGTCTAATTCATGACAACAGTCCTTGTACTACTTTTACACATGCTCTTGAAAAATTTTTTTCGTATCTCTTTATTATGCACTAAAGGAAAAAAATATTACCCCTTCGTTTTGCCTTTTCGAAGATCCAAATTGTTGTTCATTGGAATTTAAATCATAAATATTTACATTTATTATGACTAATACGGAAGTGAATTCATCGTCTTCTAAAATTCTTGATCGAACGTTAACCAATGATAATACTTTTTTTAGTGTTAAATATCAATATCGATACATATCATACAACGTCATTTTCCAAAAAAAAAATAAAAATTGTACCTATCGGTATATATAACTAGAATTGTAATTTGGTATTAAATTTTCAAAATAACGATAATCTTTAATATTAAGTCTGCAGATATTAAATAATAACATACATCTGTAACATTAGGAGATGTCAATAGGTTTCAAAGATTGGAACCGACTAAAATTTTTATAAATAACTTAAATATTTTAATTGTGTTAACCGTTTAATCCAATCTATAATTTTGGCCCTCATTATAAACTTAATTCTACCCGAAATTATGGTTCAATTTTTTTTACGGTTAAACGGTTTCAATCTTTTTAACTGTTTTTTACTGGTTTCTATTGAAGTCGAGGATTTGGAAATTGCCTAAAGTCATATATTTACATAACTTTGTTGTATAAATTAATTAATTATAATTCTATTTATAATTTAATTAAAAATTATATTATAATATTGTTAACTTATAATTAACAAATTGCTTAACTTTATGTTTAAGTAATTACGTAATATGGTTATATAATTTATATTATAATAAAATAATTTTATCAATTTATTGTTAATATAATAATATATTGTTAATTTATTATTAATAGAATACTTTACAAAAATAAATTATCTCTTAATCTGTAGACTTCTTCAAACAAATTTGCTCAAAAATTTATTAAAAATATACTTATGATCTACTTTTAAAATATTTAAATAAATTTTATTTGATAATATTTAAAAATAAAAATTATATTATATTAATATTTAATTTTATATTATAAGAAAAAAACTATATATTGCTTATAAGCTAAAAATAAATAAATTTGAAAAAATTTTAATCAAAAAAATTATTTACAAATTTTTAATAAATTTTTTAAATTTAATTTTAAATCTATAGTTTTTATACAATATTTTAATTTATATAAAAAAATGTCAATATTGTTATCCTTCAAGTTGCAGATCTAAAGTTCAAATTCCACCTATAACAAAATTTGAAAATTAATCTGTATTACAAAAAACTGTTTTTTTATCAATTAGTTGAATTTAGGTATCTGTAATCTTGAATACAACCAATCAAATTCTACTCATTATTTGAAGCCTAGAACATCTATATGAAGTATAATATTACATGTATATAGAGAAATGTTAATAACCAGTATCATATAAGACTTTAGTATAAACCTACAATAAGATTATCAAATGTAGAAAATCAAGAAACTAAAAAGATTGAAACTCATTTGGAAATTCTTAAATAAAAAAGTAGCACAAATTTTCAATAGTGCTATTAGATTAATAAAAGCCCAAAAAACCCTAATAAAGAATAGGCAGATATAACTAAATAGAAAAATATATAGATGAGCACATGATCAATTAGATTACTATAATTACCAAAAAAAGAATACTAAGATATATCATACTGGGTTATCTGAATTGAAAATCTGTTAAATTCTGAGTTAAATAATAGAAAGATGAAAAAAAAATTTAGAAAAATAGATATCAGAGTTTAAGTAAACCTTATAAGAATAGAAATAATATAATATAGTAATTAAACAGATAACTTCTATGACTACAAGTGTTAGATAACTATAGTGTGTTATATAAAACTAGAATAACTATATATGAGATATGAAAGGCTCTAGTAATAATGCTTCTAAACATACACTATATAAAATAAAGTATAGAGTTCTAAGAATATAAATAAAAGTATCTAGATCTTTTTGATTGATATCATTAAAAAATTTTTTAGAAAGATATAAATCGATATATAGCAATAAATCAATATATATTAATTAAAAAATAGTAATATATATTGATTATTTTGTCATATACTGATATATATTATTATTCAATAAATATTGAAAAAGATATATTTTATTATATATCAGATGATCGATTATTATCAATCAGTTTAATTTAATATGTAATGATTAAAGCAAATAGCATATATATAATAAATAAAATATATATTCAAGTCTTTATTTGACATATATTAATATAAATATATATTAAAACATAAAACTGTTTACTAAATATTTATTTGTTTTATTAAATATTGAAACTATATAAACAGTTTTATCTATACTTTCTATAAAAATACAACTATAATATTTAACTGATCTTAATTTAGAGCAATTTTATAATTCATTTTTTTTTTCATATCACTAAACAAAAGTAAATTCAAATGGTTCTCTGCTTGCTGCTCAGTAAAATTTGAATATTAGCAATATCTTATAATCAATAATTATTATTTAGCATATTATTAGTTACAAAGTTAGATAATGAGATATTTTCTAACTTCATAATTAGTTTCGCTTTCATCATTATCATATTATTTATATGCATATTAACGCAATATATCATTAGTATAACATACTTATCAAATAAAATTATAATAGATTCTTATCAAACTATACCAATTTATATCATCTTCAGCATTAATAATAATATTGAAAAATATTAGTTTTTTATAAAAACTTGAAGATGCACAAATAATATTAGTACTTTCTAAAGCTGCTAAAGAAAAAACTTCTATTTGTGAGTTATTATAAACAGACATTATTGATTTTTCTTCAAAAAATTCATCAAGGCCAATTAACATGTTTTGAAACCCTTTTATTTGTATAGGATTTATATTATCTTAATTTTTTTGAAGAAAATCATCTAAGTCTTCCAAGTTTATCATCTACAAATATTTTTCAAAATTCTTTGGTTCTTTAATTTCTCTTGAATGCTTTTTTTTCAGTTAACTTTTGTTGTTTAATCTATAATATTAATTTTTAGCAATATATAATGATTATATTTGAGTTTTGCCAAAGAAAAACTTATTTAATATTTAAAACTTATTGTTTTTTTATTTGTTTCATATATTCTTTCTTATTAGATATTCAATAAGGCTTTTTAACATAAGTTTTATAAAGTGTTTTGTAGGTTTCTGTGATCATACTATTTACTGACCCAAATTCTTTAATTGCAAGTATTAAATGCATGAAGTTTTAGAACTTGAAGACCACTTTTAGAATATTTGGAAAAACTTTCAATAAACATTTGGGCCTAATCTGTAATGTATGTCTATAAAATTAATCATTAGTTATCTCAATTTCATAAAGATTAGTATTTGTTATATACCTAAAGTTGATTATATAAATCGTTAGTAAATGAATCTTCTTGAAAAGCAATGTACATTTGAAGAAATTTATAGTAAACCTGATATAACTACTTATTACTAACTCCTGATTCTTCTTTATAATTATTATATAAATCATTTAGTTTATCAGCTGTCATATATGTTATTTTAGATATATTTCTTATTATTTTGAGACCCTGAAATCTAGGAACCAACATTAATCATTGCTCAAAGGTCTGCATTATATGGCTCTTACACTGTTCATATAGAAGTTGTTTGGTAAAATCTAGCATATAGTTAAAGAGGCCAAGATCTAAAATATGCATTTGATCAAGAACAATAGCTTTATATATATTAAAGTTTCTAAAAAATTTATAATTTATAATAGTAATATAGGCTTGGTACTAAAAAAAGAGACAAATTTGACAAAAAAATAATATTTATAAAAATTAATTATCTTACTATATATCGATAAATATTATATTATTTTTTTTTTTTTTAACTTAGGCAGCCTTGCCGATCACCTTTATTAAGATTCTTGTATACATGTTATACAAAGTTGG